GAGGATGTTGATGGAAGTCCCTCTGTGCCTTGCCAACTGCGACACCCTCTCTTGAACCTGTCATAAAATATGCTGAATACACTAGTTGAACCCGTGAATGTGAGCAACAGTAGAAGCTCAACGTGTGTGTCTAAGCAAACCAAACATATCGTCATCATAAAGAAGTGACAACTCTTAGAGCATAAAATCTTGCGTGCGTATATAGCACTGTTTCTCTTCTTGGGCTCCTTCACATATGTATTGCATGTACTCTTACTGTGTGTGTGTGCAGCATTCATCAGTCCCGATTAGAGTTGTTCTAATGTATGTACATATGAGCCCAGACCTTTTAAAAAGTGTCCTCACTACGTTCTTAATGCCTCAGTGCAAGGAGCCCTCTAACCATGTACATACACCCACTGTACCACTAAGACTGACCTCTACATACTACACCCACTGTACCACTAAGACTGACCTCTACATACATTACTTACAAACCCACTGTACACTAACTGACGCCATCGACATACTACAACTCCACTGTATCCACTAAGACTGACCTCTACATACTACACCCACTGTACCACTAAGATGATCTCTACATACTACATTCACTGTACCACTAAGACTGACCTCTACATACTACACCCACTGTACCACTAAGACTGACCTCTACATACTACACCCACTGTACCACTAAGACTGACCTCTACATACTACACCCACTGTACCACTAAGACTGACCTCTACATACTACACTCACTGTACCACTAAGACTGACCTCTACATACTACACCCACTGTACCCTAAGACTGACCTCTCATACACACCCACTGGACCACTAACTGATCCTCTACATACTACACCCACTGTACCACTAAGACTGACCTCTACATACTACACCCACTGTACCACTAAGACTGACTCTCTACATACTACACCCACTGTACCACTAAGACTGATCTCTACATACTACACCCACTGTACCACTAAGACTGACCTCTAATACTACACCACTGTACCACTAAAGACTGATCTCTACCTACTACACTCCTGTACCACTAAGACTGATCTCTACATACTACACTGTACCACTAAGACTGACTCACTACTACAACACTCACTGGAACCACTAGACTGACCTCTACATTACTACACCCACTGTACCACTAAGACTGACCTCTACATACTACACCCACTGTACACTAAGACTGACCTCTCATACTACACCACTGTACCACTAAGACTGACCTCTACATACTACACCCACTGTACCACTAAGACTGATCTCTACATACTACACCCACTGTACCACTAAGACTGATCTCTACATACTACACCCACTGTACCACTAAGACTGACCTCTACATACTACACCCACTGTACCACTAAGACTGACCTCTACATACTACACCCACTGTACCACTAAGACTGACCTCTACATACTACACCCACTGTACCACTAAGACTGACCTCTACATACTACACCCACTGTCCAAACACTAAGACTGACCTCTACATACTACAAGCCCACTGTAAACCACTAGACTGATCTCTACATACTACACCCACTGTACCACTAAGACTGATCTCTACATACTACACCCACTGTACCACTAAGACTGACCTCTACATACTACACCCACTGTACCACTAAGACTGATCTCTACATACTACACCCACTGTACCACTAAGACTGATCTCTACATACTACACTCACTGTACCACTAAGACTGACCTCTACATACTACACCCACTGTACCACTAAGACTGACCTCTACATACTACACCCACTGTACACTAGACTGACCTCTACATACCTACACTCACTGTACCCTAAGACTGACCTCTACATCTACACCCACTGTACCACTAAGACTGACCTCTACATACTACACCCACTGTACCACTAAGACTGACCTCTACATACTACACCCACTGTACCACTAAGACTGATCTCTACATACTACACCCACTGTACCACTAAGACTGACCTCTACATACTACACCCACTGTACCACTAAGACTGACCTCTACATACTACACCCACTGTACCACTAAGACTGATCTCTACATACTACACCCACTGTACCACTAAGACTGATCTCTACATACTACATTCACTGTACCACTAAGACTGACCTCTACATACTACACCCACTGTACCACTAAGACTGACCTCTACATACTACACCCACTGTACCACTAAGACTGACCTCTACATACTACACCCACTGTACCACTAAGACTGATCTCTACATACTACACCCACTGTACCCTAAGACTGACCTCTACATACTACATTCACTGCCTTCTAAGCCATGTACATACACCCACTGTACCACTAAGACTGACCTCTACATACTACATTCACTGTACCACTAAGACTGACCTCTACATACTACATTCACTGTACCACTAAGACTGCCCTCTACATACTACATTCACTGTACCATTAAGTACATACTACATTCACTGTACCACTAAGACTGACCTCTACATACTACACCCACTGTACCACTAAGACTGACCTCTACATACTACACACTGTACCACTAAGACTGACCTCGGGTAGTCGGTCAGCTCTCTCCTGTGCAAGACGAAGTGACGCTGCGTTCAACTTGGGGGCAAAGGTAAACTCTTCTTGCAGTTGAGGAACGCTGAGCGTCTTTCTCTGGTAGAGTCTGTGGGAGACGGGCACACTGGAGCGGCCGCAGCGTGACGCCAGCTGGAGACTGGTGAGGTTCAACCGAGGCCTAAACGTCCACTCCTTCTCGAAATCTGCTATCGCTCGTCTTCTCCGGTGAGCTACCGATGTTTCCGGCTGCGAGAGTGCACCGGTTCTCTCTGCCTGGGGGCTTCCCTCTGTCTTTACTTGCCTCTCAACTTGTTGTTCAGTATTATCTTCCTTCAGAGGTGGGTTCTCTACTGGTTTGTCTGATTCTTTCACTGACATTCCCTCACCTGATTCTGCGGACGATATTGTCGCACTAGGTGTTACGTCTTTCAGCATGCTTGGCTAAATTTCTACTCTCTTTTGATGATGCTCTGGAATCAACAATCGATGCCTCTTGAGACTGGGCTTGAGATTTCATTTCGGTGTAGCTCAAATTATTGTCAGTTGATAGAAATCTCCAGCAGTTGTCTTCTACCGCGGCAAGCCTATCCTCTTCAGCGGATTCATCGTTCCCAGCAGTGGTGGTGGCTGGGTAGTCCAGAACGGCAGGAGTTTTCGGCACTTTTCCTTCTCCCCCTCTCTCCGTACCTCGGTCGCTGCTTGCAGAAATGCAGGCGATGGGCGTGCAGCTGCAGCGAGACTCGCATTCCCACAATATGCTCTCTTGATCCTCGCTTCCCCTCCTTCGAGAAGGACCAGCAGAGGCGAGCACTAGGTTCGGTAGACCGAAGACCGCCGCCGCCTTGGCTACCAGTCGAGCAGTGACGTCCTTCGCAGGAGGAGAGCCTCCGTCAAGTCTCCTCACCTCCTCTACCGAGACCGCCATACGGCGCTACTTCGGCTCGCTCTTTCAATATTCAATTCCCATGCTTGCTTCTTCGTCAGTCGGCGGCCATTTGTGTATCGTGATACATACTGTTACCATGGAGAACGCCACGTGACTATCATAAAACACACCCACTTTCTACGCCCGCGGCCCCAACGTCGTTCTTAGGCTCGCCTCGAGCTCTTTTCTCTGACAGTCTGCAGGCGATCTCTCTGCTCTAGGATGACGAGCCTGTCTCTTGCAGCCGTGGGGGCAAGGCTGCGTCTCGGCGCCCGGCTCCTGGCGCCATCCCGCCATCTCTGGGCCGCATCCACTGCCAACCGCGGTGGGGAGCTTCGTATCTCGCCGCCCTCCGTGGCTGCCTCCTACTCCCGTCTGCACACCACGGCTCGGCTGGCTCAGTACCGCGCCAAGGGGGAGATGAGGATTGCAGTGATTGGTCAGAGTCTTTTCGGACAGGAGGTTAGAAACTATGTGCACCTCAGCAGTTGCAAAGCTTCGTTTTGCTTGCTATGTTGGAGCTGGTGCTCAATTTCACTGGACCCCCAAAATACGGACTTTGAATGCAACATACACGCTATACAAGCCTCACTCGACCCTCTCTTTCTTCCTCTCTGTTACCCTGTTCGTGTGTGTGTGTGCTTGTGTGTCTTTGTACAGGTGTACAGGCTATTGAGGCAGCAGGGGCACAATGTGGTGGCGGTGTTCACAGTACCAGACGACCCCGTCACCGGTCGACCTGATCCTCTCGCCGAGCAGGCCACCAGCGACACACTCCCAGTTCTCAAGTACAGTCGCTGGAGGAAGAAGAAAGTCTCTATTCCAGAGGTCCTGCTGGCCTCCTGGCTCTCTCCTTCCTCCTCTTTTTACTCACTTTCCTCTGATAGACAGAGAGTATCGTTTTGGGAAATGCTTTAGCAGACTGTTTGTTTTGAGCAAATAATTCCATGAGTGCCACCCTTCCTCTTATTCCTCTTCCTTCTCCTCCCCTTTTCTGTCTCCGCCCTAAAACACACACACACACACACCACACAGGTCCTGGAAGAGTACAAGTCATTCGGGGCCGACTTGAATGTCCTCCCGTTCTGCACTCAGTTCATTCCAATGGATGTCATCAACTTCCCCAAGCACGGCTCCATCATCTACCACCCCTCACTCCTCCCTAGACACCGCGGGGCCTCTGCCATCAACTGGTCCGCTATTATATGTAAAATTTAGAGCTAAGTAACCTATATTTAGAGCTCACCCAAGCAAAAATCACTGCGTAAATTAGCAAGTGAAGTGAGGCTACCTAGTCGCCTGAATTTGGAAATTGTACTATAATTCTGTGACAGGGACTGCACAAATTGGGAACTGTTTGCGTGTGGTTGTTTTCTCTCACTGCCTGTGCCCAGGACGCTAATGGAGGGAGACAGCAGGCAGGGTTCTCTGTATTCTGGGCAGACGACGGGCTGGACACTGGACCCATTCTCCTCCAGAGAAAGTGTGACGTCGACATCAACGACACAGTAGATTCCCTGTACACTCGATTCCTACTACCCGAGGGGATCAGAGCCATGGTAAGGAATATGCATATATCCCTAGGCAACCGACATGTATGAAGCTAGGTACTTGGGGATTGTATCAGCCTATACAAGTGAAGTGTATAGATAAATACTATGCTTAATTGGCAGTGGCAAAAAAGTAAAAGCTGTTTTGTGGACCAGAAGTCTGCTGGAAAAGTTGTTTTTTTCGTTGTCGTTGAATAAGACATATCCTAGTGTGTTCCCTCCTCTGTCTGTCAGGGAGAAGCTGTGAGGATGATAGAAGATGGCTGTGCTCCGAGCGTTCCCCAGTGGGAGGGAGGAGCCACTTACGACCAGCTCTGGCAGAACAAAGATCTCGCTCAGGTCTCCATCTCTCTCTCTCATTTCCCATCTCCCTCTCTAGCCCACCCTTTCTTTCTTACCTCTCTACCTCACCTCTCTACCTCACGCTTTCTTCTTTAATTCATGTGTAGGTGTAATTTACATAGGTCGAAGCTATATGTACATACCATTAGCGACCGTTATAGTTATGGCAATCCACAAGAGATGCACATTTTGACTTGTCCCGTAACTGACTGTCTCTTTTCGACCTCAGATCGAGTGGGACCAGCCGGCTCTCGGGATCCACAACTTCATCAGAGGCAACGACAAGATACCCGGTGCCTGGACTCACGTACAAGGACAGGTAGGTACGCATGTACTGTTGCATAATTGAGAACCCCTCTTTGGAAGGGGGTATATACGCGAATAAAAAAATTTTAAGAGACATTTTTCGTGGATAGTGTGAATTTTGTTTACTGAATTCCCATTATTAGAAGAAATGGAGGTTTTCCGCGATAATCTGTACCGTTTTGACTTCCCCAAAATTACTACTATTCTCTCTCTCTGCCTCTCTCTCTCTCTCTCGTCTCACAGAAAGTGACACTGTATGGCAGCAGGTACGTGGATGACAGAGAGCCAGTGGCCGGTGAGGAGATGGAAGTAGACGGAATGACATCGCCTGCCGTCCTTAACGAAGACGGGATCTACTTCTTTGGCAGCGACGGGAAAAAGGTAGAGATGTAATTTGTGTTGAAGTGTTAACAAAGTTAGTTTGTGCATTCTCATACTGCGTGAGACAAGCCATAGAAATGTTGCACTACATTGTGTGCGGACCCATCATTCCCACATAATATATAAGTTGCACTGGTGCGCAAGAAAGCAATTGATAGACTGAACCACAGATTTGTATGGTAGAGGTAATTGACTATCCCTCCCCTCTCTCTCTTCCCCACCTCAGGTCCTGGTGACGCAGCTACAGTTACCCGGCGGTCACATGATCCGGGCCCACATGTACGGCCAGACGAGAGAAACAGGAAAAACTGGTTCTGAGCCAGGAGGAGGAGGGGATGGTGGAGACAGTGCGAGGCTCGTGGAGGGCCATCCTATCTCTCAGCAACATCGAGGACCCATACGGACTTCTTCAGGAGTGGAGCGGGCTCTCATGGATGTCACCAGGTGAGCTGTACCATGTAAACAGGAGGTATATTTATTATATTATACACTTTTTGGGGGAAAATAAGAGAGTACAGTTGCCACGGTAATTATTTTAACATCAAAATTGCATGAAAATAAGGTGTTCACGAGCTACACCTAAAACCTTCGCTTCAAAACAAACTTGTGAATTTCGATTTTCACGAATGCCAAATTGAGTCGAAAACACCAGCATCGAGGTCATGATTAGACTATGCACATTTTACACTGGTGAAAATAGTGGAACCTCTGCACAAAGGGACCACACATTGTGTCGTTGTAGGTTGTCCTCTCGTCGGAGGTTAATAACAAAAAAAGTTAACGATCGTGACCTCAGTGTGTGTCCTTTCTATGTTCTGAGTGTCCTTCATCGGAGGTTCTCTCCTCTCTCTCTCTCCTCTCTCTCTCTTCTCTCTCTCTCTCTACTGCTGTACGTCTGTAGATTGGTGGAGGAGGTAAGAGATGCCACAGAGGTGGACCTGGAGACAGACGATGTCTACATGAACCCCACCTTCGAGGAGTTCACGAGGGTCATGGTCCTGAAGAACCGCGGAGGGGACGAGGCCGGCTTCGAATATCACCCCGTGAGCTGACAGTAGCACGTCGTTTCCTTACATATATGTAGCAAGGGAGCGATTGACGACTTTCGACATATCACTACCAAAAGTATGACACTGTTTTGCTCAGCGACATTAGTGAAGGGGGAAGTAGAGGGGGTCAAGAAGGAGATTAACTCCTGCTTTAGCTAAACCATAACTTATAGTTCTAGTGACTTATGTACAACAAGCCTTTCTCTTATGGAGTACAATTGTTGAGGATTTCCAGTGCACACTCTTCGTATGCAACTTGACATACGGTTTTTCCAACTTTCTTACGCACACACACACTCACACACTCACACACACAGGCAGTCCTTCATGCCAACAACAGAGAGATCCACTTCCCCCACCAGATCTTCATCAATGGACAGTTTGTCGACTCCATCAGTGGGAAGACTTACCAGCCCATCAACCCCACCACTGAGCAGGTCTTCCACCTCACCTCCTCTCTCTCCTCGCACTATTATATGATGCTGTTGTGTGACTAAAGTTGCACTGGTGTACATGCAATGAGCAGGACATTGTCTACAGTCATGCAGTTGACTTGTTTGGTTTGCCTAATTTGCCTTGTTACCTTGTTGTTGACACAGCTTCTGCCGAGACGGTAGAGTGTCGAAGGTTCGAATCCCACCCAGGGCAGCGTTGTCCTAGGTTTAGTTGTATTGTTGGCTCTGCTTTCGCTCATGGTTGTAATGCTTTTTGTGTTGAGATAAACTATAAATACACTAACACCCTCCCTCCCTCCCTCCCCACTCAGCCAATCTGCGACATCAGTGCCTCGGGAGCTGAAGATGTGGAGGTGGCAATCCAGGCAGCTCAGAGGGCCTTCGACAGTGGACCATGGAGGACCATGAACGCCAGGGACAGAGGCAAGATCCTGTACAGGTCAGTCATGTGACTATCATACGAGGTCATGTGAGATGTATTGTACAGTGTACATACTTCCCTAACTCTTTCTTCCTCCTAATTTCTCATTCATTACATGACTGGTCACATGACTGTCACATGACAGACTGGCAGACCTGATGGAGGAACACAAGGAGGAGCTGGCCACTCTGGAGACGGTGGACTCTGGGGCAGTATACACACTTGCCCTCAAGACCCACGTTGGCTTCTCTGTCGACACTTTCAGATACTACGCCGGATGGTGCGACAAGATACAGGTAGAGCTCTACTTTATACCAGAGGGAGAAAACTTTGTTGCGATTTTTTTATGTTGAGGGCTACTACTGATGTATAATTATACTTGGGAGGCAAAATTTGTGGCCATTTTGCAGCTAAATGCATCCTAAAAATGAACTCCCTAAAAATTGTGGATGCAAAAGATTTCTCCCTCAATGATGCAAGTGTGTGGAGTTTCTCTATATAAACCCCTCTATGTACGTATGTACATGTACACATACAGAGGTCTACCATACTTATCACTCTCTATATAAACCCCTCTATGTATGTATGTACATGTACACATACAGAGGTCTACCATACTTATCACTCTCTATATAAACCCCTCTATGTACGTATGTACATGTACACATACAGAGGTCTACCATACTATCACTCTCTATATAAACCTCTCTATGCGCAGGGGTCTACCATTCCTATCAATAATGCTCGACCCAACAGCAACCTCTGTTTCACTCGCAAGGAACCACTCGGGTATGCCACCATTTCATTTCTCCCATCACTCACCTCTTTTTCTCTATTCATCATAGAGACCTCCCCAACTCATGCCATGTGTAGCTTTGTGCATCTCTGCCGTGTAATGATGACCCCTTGTTTCTTCCCTTTCCCTCCTCCTCCTCGCAGTGTATGTGGGATAGTGGTGCCCTGGAACTATCCACTGATGATGGTGGCCTGGAAGGTCGGAGCCTGTCTAGCTGCCGGTAATGCACAATACAAACACTCTCACTGTACCTTTTCAGGTCACACCAGTAAATTTTCAACCACACAATTACCTACCATTACAGCTGTATACTACATACATATACTAAAGTGTCGATGTTTCGTATTTGTAAAATCGCCGCATGCATTTGCATACTGCAGTTAAAATACTATGTGTGTGTATGTGTAGTAAGAATATTAGCATGTACGAATTGTACTACTGTACGCTACTGATTACGTATTCACTACATTCCAATGACGTCTCCTAGGTAACACGGTGGTCCTGAAGCCGGCCGAAGTGACTCCGCTGACAGCTCTCAAGTTTGCAGAGTTGACAGCACGAGCCGGGTTCCCCAAGGGAGTGGTCAATATTGTCCCTGGGAAAGGTGAGATGAAGTGGGAGGGAGGAGGGAGGGAGGGAGAAAGATGAAATGCTACACTATCACAGTATTTCTGCCTGGTATAAAGTCTTAGGATTGACTGAAGAAATGTAGTAATCGTGTTGTTGATGTGTACGTTCGTAGGACGTGTGGTGGGGCAGGCTATGACAGACAGCTACATCGTGAAGAAAGTTGGATTCACTGGCTCCACAGCAGTCGGAAAGACCGTCATGAAGAGGTTGTCCATGTAGAAAGTTCAACAATTTAACGAAAACACCTTTACAAACCCTGATTAATGGACAGTCTAGTAAAGGACACTTCTATAATTGGTTTTAGCATGCCACACTCACAGGAGGTCGACCATAATGAAACTAAAAGTTGTTCTCCGTCTAGTTATGCACTATGACATAATTAGTGTATTTTGTTTGACTTCCACTACATAAATACAGTGCTGCCGAGAGTAATGTCAAGAAGGTGTCTCTGGAACTCGGGGGTAAATCCCCACTCATCATCTTCAACGACTGTGACCTTGACAAGGCGGTCAGACTGGTAAGACCGGTTTTCCCAAACCTGTTCATCCAGTAGTACCTGTTTTCTCAGGGAGCTCAGTCGGTGTTCTTCAACAAGGGAGAGAATTGTATCGCTGCTGGTGAGCTCTCGCAGACAAAGTTAATACAAGTCACATTAAAGTTCATTGTTTTAATTGCCGAGCGAATTGGGCTTACCTAGTCATTCGAGTTGCTTGTTTGCATATACCATTATGTTACGTATACACCTAATTCCAAATACGCGTCAAAAATCACTGAAATTTTGAACGTGTGGTCGCTTGCCATGCCACTAATAATAGTGTGTTGCATTCGTTCTGGTTTAGCTCTATTATGAAGGGTCAGTCATGAGCTGTGTGTATGTTCTAATTGGTACATAGGTCGACTGTTTGTAGAGAGAGGGATACACGACGAATTCCTCGACAGAATGGTAAACTACATATCTATAGATGTGTAGATAACCTGGTGGATGTGCTAATATTTGGAGATATTCCATATTTGATCTCTGCTCGATCCCTCTGTTCTTTGTGAAGTTCAAATTTCTCATTATCATTCATGCAAGTTTAGTCCTAATGATTTTTGTTTGTTCTGATTTGAAATTCTATATACGTACGTACATACCTCAGTCCCCTCCCTCTTTTGTCTCTGTTTGTGTCTCTTCAGGTGGAGGAGGTGAGGAAGATGAAGATTGGTGATCCTCTTGACAGATCTACAGCTCATGGCCCTCAGAACCACAAGTAATATATACGATGGTTCTTTCACCTCTTCTTTGTCCGCCTTCCTTCTCTCAGTTGTTCTCTTTTTCTTGTCTTTGTTAAATTATAAATTACCTAGTCTCTCCCTCAATACCACTCTTCCTTCAGAACCACAAGTAATGGCTGTTTCATTTTCCTCCTTCCTCTTGTTTCTCCGCCTCGTTCAAGCCTCACTCTCCCCTGTTTCGTGTCTCTCTCCTTTCTTCATCTCCTCTATAATTATTTTATCTCCTCTCCCTCCCCTTGTACCCTCTCTCTCTCTCTCCCTCTCTCTCTCCCTCTCTCTCCTCTCTCCCTCCACCATCAAGAGCACATCTCGACTCGCTCCTGGACTACTGTGAACAGGGAGTGAAAGAAGGAGCTAAACTGGTCTACGGAGGAAAGAGACTAGATCGACCAGGTCAGCAATGAACACCAATTGTCACATGACCAATCACATGATCACAAAAAGGGGAGATGATCATGTGAGTGTCACATGACCTTGGACATACATGAGTTGTCCTGGTTGTCGTTGACTTGCTAGCTTTGTCTTGCCGTTCTACACCTCACCTCCGCGTGTCTGTGTTGGTGATCGCAGGATTCTTTATGGAGCCCACCATCTTCACGGATGTGGATGACGGCATGTTTGTTGCGAAGGAGGAGTCGTTTGGACCCGTCATGATCATCTCCGTGTTTGAGGACGGGTCAGTTACCATGGTCATTGATGGAGTACATACACCTCCTGCATATGGTATTTACAGTACGTTCACCTCACCTGCACTGGTCGTTTCGTACCATGTTAATGAAATCAGGGACATCTGCAGCACCGTATAGGCCACCCAATATTAACTATTGTACTGCATCATCCAGCTTTAGTCGAGGTGTTTTGGAGCGTTAGCTGTCCGTCTTTCCAACCACGTGCTCATTAAAAGTACGAACAGTTTAGCCCCTCCCCCAATATTTGACTGCTCTTGGCACTCGGTTGCATGGCAGGAAAGTTCCGGGGACTACGCATTTGATGGCAAACGGCACACAAACCTTTGCACCCTTCATAGAAGATTCCAGTGAAATTCATGAAACCTTTGCCTTCTTTATGATAATGTAATCGTCCCCCTCTCTCTGTCTGTCCAGGGATGTTGATGGGGTCATTCGAAGAGCCAATGCCACAGAATATGGACTGGCATCTGGTGTCTTCACACAACGATATCAACAAGGCACTTCACGTCAGGTGAGGTATATGCTTACTCTTCGGCTGCATTCAAGTTTGGTTGACCAGTCCCGATGCCACCCACATGCTTGCCAGAATTAACCCTTTTCCTCTTCTCTCTCTCTCGCTGTTTAACCCCTTTCTTCCTCCCCCCCAGCGAGAAGCTGGATGCAGGGACGGTGTTTATAAACACGTACAACAAGACAGACGTAGCGGCTCCGTTTGGAGGATTCAAGATGTCTGGCTTTGGCAAGGACCTCGGTCAGTACCACTGATCATGTGACAATCACATGCACATGACCTAATCACTGATCATGTGACCATCACATGACTACTGGGTACCAGAGGAGCCTCTTTAATCCAGTCCCTTTAACCTCTAAGAATGTGACACTACTTTTCTCCCATGTCACATTGTACTATATATAGGGACGCAATAACCCTTTGCAAACCTACTGTTCTCTGCTACTTTATTAGGTGAAGAAGCTCTGAATGAGTACCTAAGAACTAAAGTGGTGACAGTGGAATACTGAGGGACGATGGAACCATCAGACTTCAATGTATTTGTATTATTGTGTCAGGACTAGGCTTAGTCAGGACACACAGTGTCTGTAGGGAACCTTTCTATTCTGTGATGTAATGAGTGTGTTTTGGTGATGATGTCTGTTTTTTTGGGTCAAAGTCCGTAGATGGTCTGCATTCTCTATCAGTGGCTCAGCTGGTTACGTAACAGAACGTGAGACTGCAGTGTTAACAGGGATAGTTTTAACAAAAGACAATTGTAGTTATAGTCTCGATTCCATGTCAACGCCACGGGATTGTTCCATTGTCGGATGAATAAAATGTTGTCGGTCTGTGTTCCACGTCAGTTGCATGTCTATGTTCCATTATGTTCTCAGTAGAAGATTGTTCTTGTGTGATGGATTGGGAATTGGGTCATGACCTTTGCCTGGGTCTTGGCATAGTTCCACAGCCAGTAGTCAATGGCAACCGAGTAGACTGGGGAATTGGGGGTGTGGCTTCCATCTGACACACGCAACTCTTCAATCCTCTGTTTTATAAGCTGCAAAAGAGGGGGTAGAGAGGGAAGTGATAAAAAGGAGAGGAATACGAGTATCACGTTCAGTTTCAACATGGGCGACTTGCCTCCACAGCCCAAATGGAACACCCCCTGATCTCAACCTCTTCCGTGCACCCCTGGGGTAACTCCACCCCGTCCCGTAGCCTTGACAACAGCTGTTTGGAGTAGTGAAGTACCCCAAAATACTGGAGAGTCTGGGGTACTCTGTGGATGGAGTAACACACTCCATCTCATGCATGTAAACTCCAACTGCAACCATGAATATTGTCTTTTATAATGTCCTTCATTTGGAGTTTCATACAGTAAAATAGTTTATTGGGAGTAAATTAAGTATATTAGTTCAGAATCGAAACAAGTTAGAGAGAGGTGTCTTTTATTCAGTTTGTGGAAAAACAACAACGTATTATACCTGTAGTCGGCAAACATGGTGAGGTCTCCGATGTTTCTAAATTCCCCGTATCTCGTTCCCCCAAACCGGTTCCACAGGTCGGCCGGGAATATCTGAGCTCTCTTCAGGAAGACAACGGTCTGTCCGTCGTACGTGGCCTGATCTCTGAAACAGGGGAAGGAGGCGGCCAGCTGGTGTGCCAATCTCACCGCGTCTTTATCACAGATCTCCACTAATCTGCTTACTTTACCTCCACAGTGCTGTGGGAGAGAGAGAGTCATTGCCTATCTTGAAACCCCACTCTTAATTAGTGGTAGCTATAATTATTATATGTGACTTACTTCCTGAAGAACCGAAGCCACTTCGTGTAGGCAGTGTAGTCTCTGTTCCAGGAGTGGAATGGGGACATGGGTCTCGGACCTGAACACCTCCTCCAACTGGGCGAGAGACATGTGACCAAAGTAGGATGGACGGTGGAGGGGTGTGCCGGCCTCGATGGCTCGCGATGCAGCTGCCTCGAGGGCTCTGTAGCCCGTCCAGAACTTGTTGCGGTATCGGACTGTGAATAGAGTGGGTTCATCTGACCTGGAATAGAGACAGAGAGGGGAGAGGAAAAATAAGGTGGAGGGCATCAGGAGGTTGTGAAAAACAAACCCTTCTTGTTTAGATACTGCAACAACATTAATAATCTCTCCCCTTTTTTCTTTTGAAGGTTTGCCTTTCCCCTATATCTCCTTCCGAACTTATTTTTCCACAGTATATATCTCGCTCCAACTTTTCGTTTCCCTTATCTCACGACTCCAACCGTTGGTTTTCTCTCTCGCCACTTCGCAGACTGCATCCCCTCTCACCAGAAGCAGAAGTTGAGCGTGTCGAGGAAAAATATCCAGTTCAACAGGTCTTCATCGCCAGACAGGCCGACTGGCTCCAGGAGTGACGGGCTGCCCTCCGGCTCTCCAAGACCTATTGCATTCTCCTCCAACTCACTTAGCTGGGAGAAGACGAGGAGGAGGAGGAAGAGGAGGGAGGTGTCGGCTGAAAACTCTCACCTTTGTAGCGACAGAATTGACTCCCTCACTGCTGATGGTGACGTGGCGCGAACCAGCTGCTATTGCTTTCGCTGATTCCAACACAGAAATGGAGGAAGAGTGTATGATATTCATGGTGCAGCTAGCTGCCCCCGGCCCCAGCTCGACGCGCGTGCTCAGGTCAAAGGTCGCAAAAAAGAGAGGCGCGGCTCGGGTGCGCTCTAAATAGACTAAACCTCGCGCTCGCAGAGACGACAAGACACGCACAGTAGGAGATGGCTTCCGGGCGGCCTGAAGTGGCAGAGGTGGACAGTTACAGTTGGGAGCGACTGCCCGACATGTTGCATCCTCGCTGCTACACTACGGGCGCCTATCATCAAGGGAAAACTCTACGTACTAGGTGAATTCCCTCAAAAACCTCTTGCATGGCTCGAACTGAGCCGTTTAGCCGCTCTTTTTGCCGAATGCCCTTTGTCCCCTGACTATCTCTTCCCTCCCTCTGCTTCCGTTCCCTGCAGCTGGATGCGACAAGGAAGGGGTGGCAACGGACCTAGCCGAAGTCTACGACTTCACGATGCGCGAGTGGGCGCCTCTCCCCAACATACCGCACAGACGAGCCGCCTGCACCACGGCCGTAGTCCACGGCAACAAGATCTACCTCATCGGCGGCGTCAAGGAAAACCAGCGGCCGCAAGACGCGGTAGACGTCTTCGACATAGAGCGGCGAGAATGGGACGAGTCTTTCCCGCCTTTACCGATAGGTGTCGTGGGTCCGTTCATACAGCTGATGGAAGAGCGAATATACGTCATCGCCGGTACTAACAAAAAGGAGCCGGCCTGCAACCAATCCGTGTTCTTGGACGTAGACGAGAAAGTATGGAACCCCACCCCGCCCAAACCGACTCCTTGCTACGCCTGCGGGGGTTACAGGAGGGGGACCAAAATTTATATTGTGGGGGGTCGTGACGGGCAGACCCCCATTAAATCGTTGGAGGTTTACGACACGGAGACCCAGCAGTGGGAAAAACTGGCCCCCATACCCTCCATACGGGTATTCTACTCGGTCATGGGGGTCGAAGACGAAATCTTTGCCCTCGGGGGTCTGGTCCCCATGGTCGGAATCTGCAAGATTGCGGAGAAGTACAGCATCACTGATAACAAGTGGACGAGACTCAAAGACATGTTGGAGATTCGCTCGGACGCATCGTACGCTGTCATCGGGGGTCGTTTGGTGGTGGCTGGGGGGCTAGGGGGGCAGCAATTGCAGGCCATGAGCACCGTGGAGTGCATCGCCCCCCGGGGGAAGAGATTTCACCGTCTCCCGAACCTGTCGAAGGCCCGTTCGTCGATGAGTAGTGTGACCTTCGAGGGGAAGCTGGTGACGATGAACGGAGTTGGAGACGGTGGGATACAAAAGATCGTGGAAGTCTTGAGCGTCAAACCGAAGAAAGAAGACAACTGATGTTTGAAACTAAACATTAATTTTCTAGCTGTGACAAAAGTTATTGTTTGTATACCAATGCAAATTGTGACTCCTATATTATATTTATGAGAGCAAGACCAATTACTAACCTAATATTTTGCATGGTCCAATTTTGCCACACCCTTGGACTGTCATACGAGATGGACTGTACATCATGCAAACAGCTTTTTCTCCACCAAAAATTATATTTTACACTAAAAAGCGTCTCCTATAATAATCAATAAAAGGTGTGGACAGCTCAAATGTCTATCAGTATTGATTAATGATGATGTAATGAGTGGGAGGGGCTACAGTTCGTCTTTAACAGTTTCACTCTCCCCTTCTTCTTCCTGTGACAGTGGGGAAGGGGTTAAAACTGTCACAACTTTTCTCAAAACTCACTTCTAACGGCGGTGGCACCGTGTCTTCTTCCGCCTCCCCTCCCTCTTCCTCTACCCCCTCTTCCATTCCCTCCTCCTCCTCTTCTTCGTCACCTAGGCAACAGACCACACCCATAATCTCGAGAACCTCTCCACATGTACATTACAATCACGTACCTATTTCTTCTTCTTCTTCCTCTTCCTCTTCTTCTTCAAAGAATTCTTCTTCCTCCACCTAATAAAGTGTTGAGGTTGACAGATCGCTGTGATTATCAATCGACGGGAGAAAAGCAAACTATTCTAAACCAGAAAACGGTAGAAGGGAAAGTGTCCATAGTAGTGAGTTAATTGTAGGGGTTACGTACAGAACTGTAAGGCGTCCATCTTAGAGAGGTCTCCAGGAGTCCTCAGAGAGGAGTTACACTGTGTGTTAATATACTAGGAATGCGCACGCACATAATTATTTTGCCTCGTGCCTGCCAGCCAATGCGTAAACACTCCGATTGAGGCCGACTTCCCACGAATCTGCGCGCACGGCGGAAGCTAGACTTCCTACGAATGACGGAAGTTGACATTCTTAAGTGTGACCGACACGTACGTACGCATATCGCGAGAATACAACCCGGAGTAGTTGCCTCACGCTAACGCGCTCGGCAATTATACCCACTCACAGGTGCAGTCAGGTCGACCCCAAGACTTAGTCTCATCATCCTCTCAATTCTGCCGGCAAAATCGCTCGAGTCCTTCAGCACGTACCCTGACCTCAGGAGAGCCGTCTCGTACAGGACCTGGGCGAGGTCAGAGGTCGTCGAGTCCACCTCCTCCTCGGAGACGCGTCGCTGGAGCTCCTTGATGAGAGGGTGACGAGGGTTAATTTCCATCGTCTTCTTCTGTGTCGAGTAGAATCTTCCGGAAGGGCGTGTGTGTTTGTGTGTGTGAAGAGACGTTATTATAGCGATTTTGCGAAAGAAATTTTGGAAGAAAATTTTCTTGGGCAGCAAAATTATACCAATGCATATTTCAGTAGAGGAGGAAGGAAGGGAGGAAAAAATAAAAACCTGAATGTTTGTGGCTGCTTTATACCTCCCATCCTCATTTCAAGAGGCGAAAGATGAATGAATAAAGCCACACCCCCTTTACAGGGGTCGTTGCTATAGCTACCTAGCACAATATCAGCTACACAGTCAGGCTAGCTGATAAGAAGATGGTAGCAAACAACAACAACAACAATACTTACAGTAAACAAACACACAAACAACATAAGCAAGCTCATCCCTAAACAAAAACACACGAGAAAAGCAGAATATCACTCACTCTCCCTCTTTTCCCTGTGCATAGGCCTGAGCCCGCATGATCCTCTCCATGTTACCGGACCTGAGATCATGTGACAATCACGTGACCACACACACCAGTCACCTGATGACTCGACTCACCATCCGTACTGGCTGGCCACCAGAGCACAGGGGGAGTCTGACAGGCGGTTTGATACCACGGCCTTGTCGATGTGCTCCGAGAGGGCCTCGTCTTTCAGCCAGTCAGTGAGCGGTTTGTAGAGCACCTCCATCTCCTCCATCTGCTCCTTCTCCCTCTCTCCCTCGTCGCCAAACTGGAGTCCCTCCTTAGCCACGTTCTGGAATTTCTTCCCCTCGAACTCGGGGAGGTTCTGGAGAGCGTATTCGTCGACCGGGTCCACCAGGTACAGCACCTCGTAGCTGAGGGGAGGAGGAAGAGAAGGGAGCAATGGTAAAAGCTTGTAATATGCAAACTTGACTAATCAATATGTTGTACTGCTACACTAGTTTTTGCCAACTATCAGGCCTTCATTTAGAAATTTATCCAGTGCAAGAGTGTATTAATGAAAAAAGGGGGGCAAATTTGTTTGTGTAAAAGAAGTTTGCTTAAATCTCCAACTGGAGAGAAGAGGCGAAACATACTATAGCTTCATTTCACAGGGTGAATGGCTCCTACCCCTTCCGGAGTAGTCTCTCCACGAAGGGGCTGGCCTCAGCCTCGACCCTGTTGGGAGCTGCCATGAAGTAGATGTGGTCTTGCTTCTCCTTCATCCTCTCCATATACATCTCCAGACTTGTTAGCTCCGACTCTTCGTTGCTGGACTGGAACCTTAGACATTGAAAGACATCGCAATGAAAAATGAGAAAAAACAGTCGGAGAAAAAAGGGGGGAGGGGAGAAAAATATAGGAAAAAGATAAATAAGTGAAGAAAGGAAGGGGGAAGGAGGGAAGAGATGAAGGAAAAAATAGGAGGAATGGAGAAAAATAAAAAGGAGAGGGAAGGAAGGTGGGTGGTAGAAAGAAAAAAGAGGGTGAGAGGGGGAAATGACAGGAAAGGAGGGGAGGGAGGAGGAGAAAAAGAGGAGTTTACTCCACACTCGTGTGCCCCCACCTGAGTAGTTTGGCTAGTCTTGTTTTGTTAGAGGTGTCCTCCATGACCCCAAGTTTGATGTTGGTACTGAACTGCTCCCAGAACTTCTTGTAGTCTTCCACATCCATCTTCTTGAACATGTCCAGAGCCTTCCTCACCAGCTTCTTCTTGATCACCTGGGGTAGTGAGGGGGCGGGGGGAACCCTTATCAAGATCTCGCTTACTTTCATCTTTCCCCGTATCCCGCCACAAACTTTCACCATTTCGTTCCTAACTTTCGCCACATCTTGCTCCTAATTTTAATCTTTTCCCTATCTCACTCATAACTATCGTCTTTCTCATTCCCGGTATCTGGTTTATGAGACCCCACCCCTCTTTAAGGAAGTTTGAATATTCACAAGAACAGACAGCAGAATGAGAGGTTGGAAATGGAAAACGCACTATAATAGAGGTTTCGGGGCTACTCTGCTCACCTTTAGGAGCTTGTGTTGCTGCAATGTTTCTCGCGATACATTCAGAGGAAGGTCATCCGAATCAACCTGCACACACAGGGAGACCACACCCATTTAGACCACGCCCACCCACTGTCTTACCACTCCACGGAGGAAGTTGAGATAGTGAGGGAGCATGTCTTCGAAATCGTCGGTGATGAAAACGCGGCGAACATACAGTTTGATGTTGCTGGATGATTTGGTGTAGCTGGTGAACATGTCTGGAGGGGCCACCTGCGGAGAGAGATCATGTGACAGTCATGTGAGCACAGGGATCATGCACCAGATTCAAAGACACAGAAAGTCAAATGATAAAAATCGTGATAGGTAAAACTTTGTCAGAAGTATTGCTTGGTTGCCTAGAAATTCACAAGCTGGTCATGTGATCAACACCGGAAGGTCATGTGATCTGGGGCTCACGGGAGGGACAAAGAGGATGGATCGGAAGGTGACCTCCCCCTCGGCGACAAAGTGGGTCTTTGCCAGAGGATATTGCGAGTCCTTCGTGAAGGCCTTGTAAAATTCCGCGTACTCTTCATCCTCAACTTCCTTGGTGCTAGAGAGAGAAGGAAGGAGAGAGTGGAGTAATAGGGAAGGTTTGTTGGAAAAGCAAGCAGTTTAGAAAGATCTGTTCCATGTGTTTAGCAGTGTTGGAAGGACTTGAGAAATGGCCATTCTTAGGTTTGAGGCACATTTGGGGAGACTTTAAGAAGGAGATGTTCTATGTGTAAACTTTATAAATGGCGTATTACGTTTGAGGCACATTAGTAAAATGGGACTTTAAGGTGTGTATGATAATACATATAGAGAGAGAGAGGAGAGAGGAGAGAGGAGAGAGGAGAGAGAGAGAGAGAGAGCTCACGTGCGCAGCCAGATGGGTTTGGTGTTGTTGACCTGGACCCAGTCCCACGTCGTCTTCTCCACCTTTCTCGTCTTTGGCTTCTCCTCTTCCTCCCCCTCCTCCTCTTCCACGCTGGCCTCGTCCTCGACCACCGTGTCATCTTCCCCCTCCTCCCCACTCTCCTCCTCTTTACTCGATCCCTCCTCCTCCTCCCCCTCCTCATCTTCAATTGGCTCGTCCACTGTCTCAGTCTATATCGCAGCAGTGTTGGGATAAGACGGTAAAGCTTTGTGAATGCAGCTGGATTTTGCGCCGTCTAAAATCTCCTAGAATTGACGTTCTGCGTATTTAAAGTGACTTTTAGGGATAAGTGGGCACTAAATCATTGGAAAATTTCATAGGGAGGAGGGGAAAAACTAAAATGAACCCTAAATTTTTAGAGAGGGAGCATTAAAATTTACACGGAGGAGAGAGAGGGATAGATGAGAGAAAGATTGGTTTGCTCTCTCCCTCCCTCCCTCCCTCCCTCTCTCTCACACTGCGGTTCTCTCTCACCTTGCTCTCCCAAAGGTAGATGGGGAAGTTGATGAACTGCGAGTACTTCTGGACCAGGTTCTTGAGAGTGTGCGGCTCGAGAAACTCCATTGCCTCCTCCTTCAAGACGAGGGAGACGGTCGTCCCTCGGAGGAGGGTGTCCCCACGCGGGTCCTCCGCGATGGTAAACTCGCTGGCGTCACTCTCCCAGATATACTGCTTGTCCTTGTTGTGTTTCGACGTCACTACCACCGTGTCAGCAACTGGACAGGGGAGCCCCAAAATTTATTAACCCAAAATTTTGAAGAAAATTCTAATGGAGTATGAAATATCCATAACCTTTATGAATATGAACTAACTCTAAATTATACGCAAGAAACGGCCCAAAATTAGATAGTAAGTCAGGTATAAAATTAACCACAATCACATAGTAAACCAGCCTATAATAATAATAAGGCAGTGTATATATGAGCGAACGCAATTTAGACATTCTGCAGTTTAACACATATTCCGAATTATGTGTGAAACAAAAACACAATAATGCAGACGACTAGGTGGGCTCGCTTCGCCTGCCCAACAAATTCCAACTCCCTGGTGTATTAAAGTGGGCCTGTCTCTCTTACAGAGCGGCTGGTGCTGGGAACACCATGTGGGCGTGGACTTGTACACGACTCTACTACGGTATATGTACCACTGTATACAGATCAATCTAATTTACATTCACTACACAACGAACGTACAGAAGGTTATTGTTTGCAATTCCGACTCTCGATTTGCAGTTTTGACAAAACCTATGAAAGTTTATTCTCCCTCGAATGTTTCCAACATTGAGACCACAATAACTTGGGAGTTTTGGAGTGGAAACTGTGCGAAATGTGGTTTTCAGAAACACGAGGATCCAAGACCCACACCTTTTCATTTCAGTTTCATTCTTCCACCCTCTCACACCCTCACTGCTCACACACCTCACCTCTCCCACCCTCACCACTCACCCAGAAATGAAGAGTAAAATCCCACACCAAACTGGCCAATCAGATCGGAGGCCGCGCCCTCCCCAGCTGCTGCCGTGACTTCGTCCAACTTCTCAAAGAACTCGGTCGTCCCGGATTTAGCGATGGTGCCCAGGTTCTGTTCCAGCTCTCTCTTGGTCATCCCGATACCTGCGGTGGGTCACATGACTCTCACATGACCTCCACTTGCGTTGGACAACTCACCAGTGTCAGTGATGTGCAGCATATTGTTCTCCTTGTCGGCCTTGATCTTTATACTCATTTCCTCCGTCGCACTCAGCGCTGACTTGTCCGTCAGCGACATGAACCGTATCTTGTCCAGGGCGTCTGACGCATTCGATATCAGCTCTCGCAGGAATATCTATAGTCACATGACCCATTATTACATCATCATGACGTCATAATTGACCAGGGGGACATGCTTAGGAAAATAGAATTGTCTTTTTAGAAGTGAATGTATGGCAAATAATGAGTGGCGTTTAAATTGCCTCCTAGCTGATTTATTTGGCTGACATCATTATGACATCATAGTTATGTCACTGGCTCCACCCACCTCTTTGTTGCGATAGAGTGAGTTTATGATGAGTTTCATCATGCGGTTGACCTCCGCCTGGAAGACAAATTTCTCAGCGGAATCGCGCAGCTGTTTCATCTCCGCCACACTTAGTCCGTCTAGTTTAATGGCTTCTTCTTCTCTGTGAGTGTAGGGAGGGAGAGAGAGATGGGTAGGGGGAGAGAGGGGGCCACATCACTTAGCACTAATTCCCCAGAGATGTATAAAAGGAACTAGAAACACGACTGATACTAAGTGAGAGAGAACTGCTACAAGAAGCTGCAGTGCAATATATTTCTGAGGATCTGCAATTTTGATCAATTTTTGTACTAGGAATAAAGAACATTTGATTAAATAGAGTTTTCCTGACCTCTCAACAGCCTCGTCATCAGTTCTGGACCCTTCCCTGCTGGCTCCTAGGTCTTCGTCCACTGCCGGGAGATCCCCCTCCTCTCCTCCTCCTGTCTCCACCTCCACATCCCCTCCCTCCTCACACTGCACTCCTGCACACACCACACACACACACAGAGAGAGAAAACAGCACTGAATGCTTGCTCAGTAAAATAGGAACTAGCTAGCTGTAGTTAATTTCTGTTGAGAATTTGCTCCATTTCCAGAAAAAAGAATTAACTCTTGAAGTGTGTTAAATGAGGCAAAGCACAATAGTGAAGAGTGGAGAAGTTGTTGAAAAGTGCATTCTGCACTCTGCAGAGCTGAGAGGTTCTCCGAACTCACCAGCAGCGCAGAGAAGGCCCAGCAGAGCCACCAGTAGAAGTCTTCGACTCATTCTTCGCGTCTGCTAACTGCTTGCAGTCTCAAACGCCCGAAAACGAACCGTCACTTCTCTGCAAAAATAACTTGTGCGGTTTATAGTGTGCGCACGAGTAGCGCGCGCCGCCCGTCCCGTGGATTGATTTGATTGGTCGATCAGCCGGAGGGAAAACCCCGCACACCATATATTTTCAAACTGAGCGTGGAGCGAGCTCATTGGTCGGTTTTCGCGGTAAATACGCCATGCGTTGCGGAAATGCCGCGGAACCTCAAACTGAACTAGGGGGTTGCTTGGTCCATGGCTGGAGACTTCTGCTTTAGAATAGCGTCTCTCGCAGTATTGTTGTTGGTGCTGGGCAGCGCGGCCGCGGGCAGGAAGGGCAGGTGCGAAGTGTGCAAGAATTTCGTCAAGGCCTTCGAGAAGGTGAGCTCCAAATGAAAAAAAAAGGATTTTCTCGAGCAATTAGCACCTTATTTATAAATTAGCGCTTGATTATCACTTGGTTAGATGGCCGTTTTCTTTCCGGCAGGGGTTGAAATCGACGGAGAACTCTAACTTTGCTGGAGGAGACACCAGTTGGGAAGAAGAGAAGCTCGGTTCATATGCCAACAGGTCACGTGACATCACGTGATATTCACACGCCCTGCATTTTGATTGACGTGTCTCCCCCCACGCAGTGAGGTGCGGTTTGTGGAGATATTGGACGGAGTATGCAAAGACTATGAGGTGACATTTTAATCATTCAGTGTTTTTTCCTCAAATTCAGAAATAATTCACTCTCCCCTCATTCTATTTCTCTTACTAAAAGTGTCACACTTTGTTAGAAGAAAACGAAGAACATGTTGAGAGATGGTGGTTCAAGCTGTAAGTTAACCCCTTCCCTCCTACCCCTCTGTTAACAAGGGGTTAACGATTCTCCCGCTGCAGACGGCACAAAAAGCCAGATCTGAAACTTTGGTTTTGTCACGACCAATTGGACGGTGAGGAAAACTAATACCAATAGCGGAAACTCTTGGAAAAAATATATTTGCAATGGGAAGGCTGATTTGGGAATTTTTGGGAATTTAGTGTTAATTTCTTACCAAGACCAAGTTTACCAAGTTTATGCTGTGTGTATGTTTACAGAGTGTGTGTGTGGGTTTGTAATCATGGGGACAGATTGTATTTCTCTCTCTTTCCGTTTCTTCTTCACACAGTTTGCTGCCCGGACAACACGTTTGGACCCACTTGCCAAGGTAACAGGATTCTCTTGCTCATCCCTCTCTCTCCGTTCTCTCCTTTGGTCTCATCTCTGCTTCTCTCTCTATGCTTCTATCACGCCCTCTCTTCCGTTCTTCTCTCTCTCTCTCTTTCTTCTCCCTCCCTCTTTCTTCCTTCCTTCTCTGTTACAGAATGTCCTGGAGGAGTGGACGATCCATGTGGGGGTCAGGGTACATGTGAGGTATGTTTTCCATGGTGTACATGAGCAGCGAGGGTAAAGAGGGAGAGGGGTGGGGGTGAAGGTACATCGAAAATAGAGACGAGATAGTATTGCTATTCCACACTTCAATTATAGCCAAAGTATTAGGGACGTTTGGTTCGTTATTTTGTTTATTCACGTCCCTGCAAAAAATGCAAAACCATTCAAACCCTTATTAGCGGATATAGGTGATACAAGGGGAGCTGGTAAAGACGTAGGCGAGATAGGGTCAATTAATAATTCCACCCTCCAACTATTGACAAATTAGTAGGTATTGTTTGTTTGTCATTTTGTAAACTCGTGTCCCTGCAAAAAATGCAAAACTGTTCAGAGGGTGGAGGTGGCGTCAGTGAAGTATGTGTGACACAAGCACTTTGCTGGCTAAAAGTAGAGGTATAATTACGTTTCACAGGGTGCGGAGGAGAAAGATGGAGTAGGTACGTGTCGCTGTAATCGAGGTTACCGTGGCGACAGTTGCCGGGAGTGCGATCGCGGTTTCTACAACGACAGTTCGAGCTGCGTGGCGTGTCACCGGGCGTGTCGAGACGACTGCAGCGGAGGAGGTGTGGGGGACTGTCTGGAGTGTGCCTCGGGGTACTCCAGAAGTGGGGACGACGAGGGAGCAGAGTGCAAAGGTGAGCTTGAGAAGAAAATTGTTGGTCAGTGAAGTTTTACCAAATTTTTTTTCTTTCCTCACATTTTTAAGCCTGTTGTATATGGGTTGCATTATCCACTGTTTGAATCTTATCTCGTCTCTCTTCTTTCTCTCTCTCCACCCCCTTCCCTTCTTCTCTCTTCTTCATCTCTATATACCATTTCTCTCTGCATCTATATATTACAGATGTGAATGAGTGTGAGGAGAGGGAGAGGGAGATGGAGGAGGAGGAGGAGGGAGGCAACTCGACACCACTCTGTGAAGAGGGAAAATACTGTTTCAATACTCAAGGCAGCTACAGGTGCAACGGTATGTATTTCACCAAAAACATAAACTCTGCGATATTTCGTCGATTCCCTGCTCAAACCAGATTGCGATCGCTCGTGCCAGAAGGGGTGTTCTGGGCCTGGGCCTGCCAAGTGCGAGGCGTGCGGTGCCGGTTACTACACTTCGAAATTCAACATCTGTAAAGGTATGCAAAGAATGTTTAGTAAACAACAACAAATCTTGTGATGGGGTTGAGCTGTAAACAATTGTTCATAGCGTTGGGCAGCATTTTACAAAAACTTTCAACGCCTTGGGAGGGAGGGAGGAAAAGGAGGGAGGGACGTGTATTAGATTGGAGGTTTTTTCCTGGATAAATATTTCCTAACTACATTTTCACTGGATTGCTATAATTATACTCACCCATGGACTGTGATTGTGATCAAACCCTGAGTAATATATACTGTTAATTTTTTGATGTGGTAATATTGCAGATATTAATGAGTGTGAGGGAGGGGAGGGGTGGGAGGGAGAGCCTGTCACATGTGAAGGAGCAACTTTCTGTGAGAACACTCCCGGGAGCTACCAGTGCAGGGCGTGCCACGTCGCCTGTCTCGGAGGCTGCAGGGGGGCGGGGCCAACGAACTGTGTCGACTGCAAACAAGGCTTCAAGATGGACGACGGGGAGTGCAAAGGTCGGTGTTAAAAATTCAAACCGCGCCCCCATTGCTAGAGTGCAAATCCCTCTAATCCTGACAATGAGACAGAAAAATCCCCATATGACTTTTATAATGTACTACAAAGTTGTCCGCCTAATTTTAATTAAGAATTTCATGTAATTGAAGGTGTCCTTTTCAGAGAGGTGTCCTCATTTTGGGGGTGTCCTTAGAGAGGGATTCCACTGTAATCAGCATTCCGTCTTCCTAATATAGATGTGAACGAGTGCGAAGATGAGTCAGTGTGTGATGTCGACAGCGAGAATTGCAGCAATCTGATTGGTTCGTTCAAATGCAAGTGCAAGCCGGGCCTCGTGCGAGTGGAGGGAAAATGTGTCGAGAAGGTGGTGAAAGAGAGAGAATCGAAGAAAAAGACGAAAAAGAAGAAAAAGGCGAAGAAGGATGGAGCCGGGGAAGGTGAGGAAGAAACGAAGAGAATGCAGTTTCCATGGTATCACGTCCTGGCCCCTCTATCACTGGCCATCGTCACATACAAATTCTCTCGTCCCAATCTTGCCAGCTCCGTTTCCATGACAGTGGTTCTAGTAGCAGCTGCCCTCCACAGCTAGACCACCAGAGTTGCTTAGGGAATATTATCGTTTTTTTATCACCATTTTTATAAGTTTCATGTTTTGGGTGATTTTGTGTGTGACCTACAAATCTTAGCGTTTTGGAAAATGACCTTCAAAATAATATTATAGAAAGTGATACGAGATAGTCTGATTGGGATGTAATCGGTCTTCATGTGACCTGCACTAGATACGCATACGTACGCATGAACGTGCTGGCATTTGTACATGTTTCTCATTTCTAGGGCATAGATCTAGTCCCAGTATGTGGAGTGTGTTCTGCGGTGACAGCTGGTTTGTTCCTCTTTGTCTGTCTGTGCAGGTGTGAAGACTGCCGCAGGTGGCAAGGAGAACCAAACCCAGCCTGTCACCGCAGAAGAGAGAGAGCAGGAGGGGCAGGAGGAGAGAGAGCAGGAGAGAAAAGTGGAAGGGGGAATGGTTGAGGAGACTGCTACAGTAGAAGCGAGGGAGGAACTTGGATCACCTGATCCACTCCAGGAATCACATGATGTATCACATGACAAACTACAGCAGCAGGGTACAGAACATGACCAGAACCTTTCGCAGGAATCACATGACGGGTCACATGATGTATCACGTGATCTAGACCAATCAGGACAGTCTATGGAAGCAGTTGACCTACAGGACACCCACGAAGAGCTATGATACGCAACTTTTTTAGGCCATCAATTTTTATTAATAATTATTGCTCTCAGCCGACAATAAATACTCAGTTGCCAAACTTTTTTGTTATCCGTAAGTAAATTTCACGGGCGCACACATGGCTGCGGTGAAGACGGTGGTTTTTTGCGGAGCTAAGCCCGGGCGCAAGGCAGTGTTTGGAGAGAAAGCAGCAGGTTAGCTGCCCGTGCACCAGCTGCTATACCTTTTGCAAATCGAGCCCCATCTCTGCATGTCTCAACAACTTGGTAACGAGGGACAAGTCAACTACCCATTGTTCTTGCTCTACTGCAGAGCTGGGTGCGTGTCTGGCAGAGCGAGGGGTGGAGGTGATATACGGAGGCAGTCGCTATGGATGCATGGGTCGCCTCGCTGACGCCGTGGTGCAGGCTGGAGGAAGCCTGACCGGCATCGTTCCAAAATTTTTCACCGGTAAATCTCTTGTACACCAGCCTAGACAGTCAGTAAAGAGCTCAGTGCTGGTATATAGATGAATGGATGACTGAAAAAGTAGTAGAAATTCACAGGTCAGCAGGAAAGAGAAGTAACTTGTCGAGTCAATTAGCTACACACATTATAGTGACTGGGGGGAAGTCCCACTGCACTATGCACTGAGCTACAATTCCAAGTAGGAAGCTGGTCTTCCCCCCTCTGTCACGTAGAAATGGAAGGGTACAGCTCAGCAGCGGAGGAAATTGTCGTGCCTGATATGCACGCGAGAAAGCAGATGTTCTTTGAAAGAGTGAGTGCGGCAGCATCAGAAAGAATCTCACTCCCCCTCTCCCTCTCTCTCTCCCCCCTCTCTCTTTCTTTCTCATCCTCTGGCTGGTAAAGGCGAGTATGTTCATAGCCCTGCCTGGAGGAATAGGGACTATGGAAGAACTGACAGAGATGCTCACGTGGCGGCAGTTGAAACTGCACAGTAAACCAATAGGACTCCTCAATGTTGACAATTATTACGACTCATTCCTCCAGTGGGTAAGATATCTTCGCCATTCACCTTGTGAAAAACAACTGTGTGTATATATATAGTATAGGCAAACCCCTTTCAATACCTGGACTCCAATGTTGCAGTTGGACCTAATATTTTTGGCTGAAAATCAGGGATAGAGGGAAAGACTTAGTGTAAGAAATTTAAGTTTTGCGTCATTAACCCTCGGCGCGCATGCGCAGCGAGGGTTACAGTACGTAGTTACCCTCGGCGCACATGCGCAGAGGGTACTGTAGTTGGGTTTGTCTGTGTACGTGTGTGTCTGTTACTCTCAATCTCACTTCTCGAATGTCTGTTCGTCTCATAAACGATACCATCTACCTAACGGGCGATGAAGGTCAGAAAATAAAGGCGGTTTTCTCTGAAAATGCTCCGTTGCAGAGCTAGAGCGGTTCCAGCATTGTATGGCTAATGCCGTAGTCGCCATTTTATCGCTGCGGAAAATGCGCATGCGCTTATATTTAGCACAGGCTTACCTCGACCGGGTCCGCTTGCTCTGTCTATCTTGAAGGCACAAGAAGTCACAACGGATGGCGTGTATCGACTCTCGCGTGCTATCTACTACTGTAGCTAGCCCGTGTCAGACTCTCTGCGAGCTACTTCGCCGAGGGTTTGCACTTTAGTGCTTTTCATTGGGTCTGTCTGTCTGTACTGTCTGTCTGTCTGCGTGTTACTCTACATCTCACTTCACGGGTGTTTGTTCGTCTCACAAAGGATACGATCTACTTAACGGGCAATGAAGGTCAGAAAATATGTGGGGTTTTCTCTGAAAATGCTCCGTTGCAGAGCTACAGCGCGAAAAAGCCAATATGCAAATACACAACGGACGGGACGGCTTACCACAGTCGGATCGATCCGCGTGCTCTGCGTACCTCGGAGGCACCAGAAGATGCAACGCAGGGCGTGTATCGCCTCTCGCATGCTATCTAGTACTGTAGTTAGCCCGCGTCAGACTCTGCGCGAGCTGGCAAGAGACCGCGAGTAACAGCTAAAACTAAACCCAGCCCATCAATTAGTGGTACGGCGCATGCGTTTACTTACGCGTGCGCGTTACAGTGCGCCGAGGGTTTGCACTTCAGTGCTTTTCATTAGTTTCTTTATTAGTTTGCTGTGAAAATTCGAAAATAATAGGTCCAGTCAGGTTTTTAAAATTATTGTCTGCAGCTATCAAGAGCGAGAGAGGACGAGTTTCTTAAGGGAGGCCCAGAGATGCTGATTGTTTCAGACTCAGCAAGAGAACTAGTGGACTTGATGTTGAAGACTCTCTCCAGCACTCCTTCTTCTAGTAGTTAAACTGTTGCCTTATTTTGTCTTTGGCTAATAATTAATTGTGGTAGCATCGTAAATTCGAACAGGGCTTGCTTCGCTTTTTATATATCCAAATTTAGATCCAAACCACAACATGTTACAAAACTATGTTGTAATTATAGCAACATGTCAGTGGGAATGACAATAGTGGTATAGGTTTGCTACAAAAAGAGGTGGCTAGCTAGCCCAAAAAGAAGAGGCTAGCTGCCATGAAATCAGTGTCATTATATATAATTATATATAGCTGACCTGAAAAGAGGTGGCTAGTTTGCCTGAATTGTATAGTTAGTGTGAAAAGATGTGGTTAGCGGCCCTGTTGAAACTTTTCCAGCAGTGACTTGGCATAGCTGGTGAGAGTTGACTCCAGGGAAGTTTCTAGAACACTCTGATTCTCAGGATTTGCCCTTTAAAAGGTAGAGAAAGACACAATGAAATAGAAACCAGTACGAGTAGTTTTAGCAACCCCCAAATATGAGACTATGATATTTTAGCTGCAGCTAAATTGATCAAGTTTAAAATTGTCTGTGGATGATACACTTTCTGAATTTATCCCTTAATACTGACACATTAATTTTCAGGCAAAGACACAGCGTTTGTATAAATGGGTTTGCCTCATGATATGGTGTGGGCCTTACCTGATCATCAGTTTAGTAGAGAGCGCAAGGACAGACGCATGTTGCCTGAACGTTTCCATCATCTCACTGTGCGGGAGTTTGCTCTTGGCATCCACCCTTCTCCTTCTCTTCCCTCCTTCTCTCTCCCCCTCCAACTGCCCCTCTAGTGAACCATTTGGAGAGGTCTGGTTGCCCTGATCAGCAGTAGCTACATCCGAATTAACTTCATCCTTGCCCATTGTTTGGGTTCCCTCGGTTACAGTCACTCTGCACGCAGACGTAGCGGTGCTACTATTCAAAGGTATAGGATCAGGTGGAGGTGGTTTGGGTGAACTAGCAGGCACCGTCTTGCTGGTCTCTTCCAGAGTTGTGTCAGTTTCAACTGAATTCTGAGGCTCGGGTGTTCTTGCTTCAGATTGATCCTTGGGCTCAGCTGTTTGAGTAGTTGTGGCTGTAGATTGAGCATCTGTGTCTGTGCTGGAATCGTCGTTAACAGGGGTAGCCCCTGCCCCGAGTGCTCGTTGGTGTGGGTTCAACCAGATCTGTTGCCATGGGGCGGGTGCCATGTGAACAGGCCACACCCCCGACGACATGACGATCCCGCCGGCCATGCTTCTCTGGGAGATTGTCGGGGGAAACGAGAGGGGCATCCCCGGAATGGGAAGTGAGGCCCCACCCACTGGGTGTTGGCCGGGAAACAGATGTGCGGAGGGGTGGAAGGTGGAGAGGGGGTGAGGGGAGGAGGTGATGGGAAAGGGAACGGGGAAGAACGGCGGCTGGAAGGGTGCCTGTTGCTGCATGCTCTGGAGGACCTCAAGGGGTGGAGTCACATCTCGCTCAGTGTAGTCCCGGGAGGTGGGCGGGGCAATTGGGGGCAGTGCAATTGGGGGCGGGGTTTTCGCTCGGACTTCAACTTTATTCGCATCCGACTTTGAGCTCTCTTTGCTGTTAACTTGTTCTGTTTTTCGTGACTCATCAGAAGTGGCGTTGTTGGGCTGCAGACTCACAACAGCTCCCACCTCAATCTTCCGACTAATATCAACTCTCTCGCCTCTCTTTTTCCCTCGTTTTGGCCTCCCTTGGCTCTTTGGACGGGTTGTTTCAGCCTTTCTAGACTCCTTCACCTCCGCCGGCTGACTGGAACCGGTTTTACTATCATCTGCCTTCTTCCTCTCGTCTTTCTCTGCAGGTTTGGAACCAGAGCCAGTCTCTAGTGAGCTTGTCTTCGTGTCCAGCCCCTTACCCTCCCCCTCTCCTACTCCCCCTTCGTCTTTCCCCTCCTCCACAGCGCTCTCCGTGACATCTTTGTCTTCTGGCAATGGCTGACTAACATCCTTCTTCTCCGAATCAGTACCCTCTCCCCCTTTCTTCTCTTCCTCCTCAGTTCTCTTTAATTCTACCTGCGACTCTCCACCACTGGAAACAGCAGTCGCAGCAGAGTCCTCTGTTTGCTCTGCAATCGGTGTCTCCATCTCATCTGCAGTGGTTTCAGCTTCATCCCACGAGATGTTGCAGATTTCGCGCTCAATTTTCTTCGTCACGTGGGGGCTCCCTCCAGTTTTCTCAGCAACGTTTTTAACCCTCCAGCCACTGGATTTATTTCCCTCTCTGTCGGATTCGGAATCATGATCAGATTTCTTTCTCCTTCGCCTTGTCACAGACGCTGCCCTGCCTCTCCCTCCCTCCTCCTCCTCTTCTTCCTCCTCTATTCGTCTGGAATGGTCCCGCTCACTCGCTTTTTTCCCATATCTCGAGTTGTAGCTATCCCTCCTCTTTTCAATGTTCTCCTCTCTCTCGCTCTTGCTTCTCCCTATCGCACCCCGACTCCTCGACGATGGGGAAGACCCTTCTCGTTTCCTCTCATCTCCTCTCTCGCTGTGCCCCCTACTCCGAGACAAGGAGCGGGCTGGGGAGCCGCTACACTCCTGTGAAGCAGGACTCTGTGACCTTTCGGACGACGCCTGGCTCGAATCCTGTCCACGTGAGCGAGTTCCATGCGAGAGAGGAGGTGAAGATTCACTCACTCCATCCACCACCCTACGATCCTTGCTCCTCGCGTAAGAAGACGGTCCAAGTCGTGAGAAAATGTTCCCCTTTTGTCCGTCGACGCTCACTCTGTCTTCCCTGGTCCGCTTTGTGAGCGGATCATAGGACGTAGCAGGCGAAGAAGCACGTCTTTTTCTTGTTTCTCTCCCTCCTCCGGCGCTATTCCGTGACCACTTGTTGTTTGACGGTCTCCTGCTGGAGTGATACTGGGTAAAGGCGTAGGTCTCGCTGCTACTGTGAGTCACAATCTTCTCCTTGCGTATCGTTTTCGAGGCGTTGCTCTCCCCCGATCCACGACTGTGAGAACTAACTCGCGACTCTGGTCGTTCCGAAGGGTCGCCGCCCCCTTCACCTTTACCCTCGTCAATCTCCTGGGATGAGACGGAGTTCTGTCGCGAACGGGAGTCGCTCGTCCGCGTTCCGTTGCCACCAGGGCTCACCACCACGTGGGAATTAACTTGGCTTCTATCGGACTCTGACGCATTTCGCTGTCGCTTCCCAGGGTCTGCGTCTCGCGAAGAGGATGAGGAGGAAGTGGACGGTTTGTCGACTCGCTTGTCCTTCTGCGAGGGATAAACGGAGAAGGAGATCCCGAACTCTTTGGCCGTCTTGGCGTCTAACCAGGCGGTGGTGACTATGACATTCGTCAGGTATTTTTCATTGTATCTGCCCCACCAACAAACACACACACAAGACATAGAGAACTGATACAATGAGGTTTACATCGTCCATCAAGCCCAACTCACTTCTGCTTTACTTTGTTGGCTACGTGTGGAGATTCGAACTTGATTACCACGGCATAGCTACAGCCTGTAGCCTTCTTCTTGGCGTCCCCGTGCATCAGCTCACAGGCTCCGTAACGAAGCAAGTAGTCCCTGCACACGCACACACATACACGAGCAAGGGGAGTAGTTCAGATGATTTCTCTCTAAAGTTACCTTACCTAACTTGGTCTGGATGGTGCATGATCGGGTTTTTTACCGACTTGTCCACCTCCGATCTGAAAATTACCTCTTTCCCCATATCCCCGGCCTCTCTTGCTCGCTCTGCTGCTGGGGCCCGTAATGACCACGCCCACTATGTCACGAGTTTACACGTATGGCGCATGCGCAGTTCAGAAGATATTTTAACCCTTTGCTCACCTACCCACATAATTTCCTCTCATCCTGCGCTTCGTAGAAAAGAAAGTTGAAAGGTTTCGTATTGCGGCGCTCTCTCTCTCTCTTCAATCGGCCATGATATTCGAGGTTCATTCAGATTCAGAGGAGGAAAGCGGGCGTCCACCTCCAGGCGGTGTACGACTCGTTCCCGTGAGGGACCGTTACGGTAGCTCCTCGGGGCCACCCACAGCTGCCGCGCATCTCCACGCAGTACGCGAGCGCTCGCCCTCCCTCCCCGTGGCTCCGGTGGTCAACGTAGAAGAGGTGGACGGTGGAGGAGATGTGGGGAGGGGAGGGAGACAGCGCCATCTTCCCGGGGCGTCCTCCATTAGCGGTCTCCGACGCGGACACGTCAAGGCCCCGTCTGCCGACTGGAGCGCAGATGTAACGTTCGCACGGAAGGGAAGCCCGTCCGAAATCTCTTTCGACAGCGATTCGTCGGAGTCGGCTCTGCTACCGACGCAGTCGCTCCCTGCGCACGTAACGCGCGCCCGGACGCTGACGATGGATTCGGACACGTTGGTTCTCAGCATGGGTCGAGACATGGTCAAACAAGGCAGCGAACTTTCGGACACGGGAAGCCTCATTGTCCCCCTCGTGCGGGGGCACACAATCTCAGACGATTCCGCAGAAGAGGGGGAATACGTCGACCATGAGCGAAAACTTCTCTACTTGATGGTGGCGCGGTGCATCGCCTACCCTTTCAACGCCAAATACCAGCTCGAGACAGCTCCGCCTAAACCGAAACTAAACGAGGCTCGATTCACGGGCATCGTCGATATTCTCGAGACCTGTCGAAACCAGGACTGGGAGATCATTGCGAAATCTGCCATCTCGATCAGCGCGGCCGAAAACAAGTGTCTGCGCGGCGACAAGTTTCTCAACTGTCTCGACTGGTACCTCGACAACGTCCTAGCGCGAAGCGATGTTGTTTCGATGAGCCACAGTGGTAGCTTCTCCGTGAAGGAACTGGAATCTATTTTCAAAGTTCTGGCGACAAAACACATTATGTACACGAGCAATGCGCTGGACGTCGACAGTACAGAGCTTCACACCTGGTGCAGCACTTTCAGGAAGTTGGTCGAACACGGCGCCCGCACCACGCTACGCGGGGTTCGCGTCCCCAGTCCCGGCGGTGCGAGCGGGGCGGTCGGAGGGGCAGGTGGAGGAGGAACGGGTCCGAATCGTGAGAATCTGTACAAGTTGTTCCAGAAGATTCTGAACGTTAAGAGGATCGAGCATCAGGTCCTGTACAGAGTTTGCCAGGTGTGTATAATTGTGATACGTAATCTAGAGAGAAGGAGGAGCAGGTTGTTTGTAGAGTTTCTGGCAACCGTCTTTTGTGAAGAATGATGAAAGCGTGCGGAAAGTATGGGATACATGGTATGTAGGAGGAATGTTGCAAATTATTCGGTTGGAATGCATGCAGAACATTCCAACTTTTCTCTCTCTCTGCTTCCGCCATTGTCACTCCATTTAAGACTAAGTTTTGAGTCACACAAAATGGTTACTCGATGCATAGTAAAACAGGTTCTGAACAACCTCCAAATGCTGGAACCCTACTCCACTTCAGTCATGGGTTACGAGCTATATACACATAAGAGCGTTTCAACTCTTTTCTCTCCCTCTCTCTCTGAAGCTTGGTGTGAAAGAGGAACAAGAGGCGGTGGTGAGAAGGGAGCTGCAGAAGAGGGAGCTGATTCTCAAAGACAAGGTATCTCTCTTCCTTCAATGTGTATATACGATGTACGCTATGTGTAAGGGTATGAATTCCAGTCTTGGGGAAATGTGATTTTTGAGTTTCAGATTCACCAGACGGCCCTCACAGCTGTTTAAATTCTCTCTCTCTCTCTCTCTCTCCTTTCCTCTCTCATCTCCGCATCTTTCTTTATCATTTCTCCTCCCTCCTCCCTCCTCTCGCCATCACGCCAGCGAGCCACGCTACAAGAAGGGAAATTTGGGAGCCGGCGCGTGGAGGAGATATATCGCGAGGAGGAGCTGAAACACCTCAAGGCCCTCATGCTCAACCTTGACCACCTCTCTCTGGCCACGCCTGGCACCAACCCAAACCCTAGTCGGAAAAAGTGAGTTCTGTGCACTCGCCTCCCCTTTTACGTGACGTCTTACTTGGTTACTGGTCCACTGATCCCTTCACATGATGACGTCTTCACATCTTCACATACAATGTTATGTACCTAGGTTACTGTACGTAACCACCACATGCTGTGTGACCAGCATGATGTAACCATCACAAAACAAGGACTTCTCTCTTCGCTAGACTGGACTTAAACGTGTTTCTCCCAAATTGTTCTTTTAGTTGATAGTGCGGCTTAAAGGCTTGTGATTTTTAGTGAAATTTTGATGTTTCGGGCCTTGTAAAAGCAAAACATTATTTCGTGTTCCGAGAGTAAGCATGGAGACTTAATTAAACTAAAATGTGTGATAACTACACTTTTTATTTTTGTTTATTTTTTTATAATATAACTTTATTTTAAATTTTTTGTATATTGTTAATTTAAAATTGTGCTACTTTTTTTTCCACTTAAATATTTTTAATTATTTATATTGATTTTAATTTTTTCGTTCTTTAGAGTTTAATTCGGTGATTTCTTCTCCCCTATTTCTCGATATATTCTTTTACCCGATCTCACGGGGAAAGTTTTAAATGTTGATATTATAATGTTTTATTTCTCTTCTCACACTGCCCTGATAAAGTTTTTATAGTTGGGTTTTCACTCTCCTCCCCTATCTCCCTCCCTCACTGCCCTCACTGTGCCCAGGAAGCTGGTCTCGACAGACAGCGGCGGAGGAACCATCCACAAACAGAACCTCTCCTTCTCCCTAAAACTGAAAGTCACCGTCAGGAGCTGCAGCAGTTCACCTCGCCGACCGACGGCAAGAGAGTCTTCTGTGTCTTTGAGGTATTAAGGTGTCTCCGATCTGAGGTGGAAGGTGGAATCCTTCTCCAATGACACATCTCTAATAAGGACAACTTTTCTTAGAATCGTTCCTGCATGCAATGTTGTAATCTCCACCCTCCCAGCTGGTGGACGGAAGTAGCGATCCGTTGCAGACGCACCCCGAGCTGGTGTCTGAGTCTGGCGGCGCCACATTCGACATTGCGGGGGAGTTCTGGACCCACTCCCCCCTCCCCGAGATCAGATACACCCTCCGACAGGAGACAAAGGGGCTCTTCTCCGACGACAAGATTATCGCCAAGGTAACGGAGAAACATAGCAACGGGTACACTACAACTTTGTCAAATACCAGTCAGCAGTACGTATAAAATGTTCATACATTCTCACATGATGGGCCATTATGCGGCTAAATTTTGCAGTGCTTTTTCCATCCCTCCCTAGCACTAGCATTTGTATGGCCGGGTACATACGTAGGTGCTCCTCATATAGTGTGTGTGATAAAAATGCATTCTGAAAGCAGTCTAGACAGAGCCACCATTTGGCCGAGGAGTCAGTGTTCTCTACCGGCAACTATAGACGTACAGGGGCTTCCATCCATTAGGTCCTGGCACTGCCATACCGCTGCTCCATTGTCATTAGGGTGCATTAGAGGGTTCGCCCCACGTAGAGACTTCTTGCCAATTTTCTGATTCCCCTCTCTTTGGCACTTGACCTGCTCTCTTAGCCGTATTATTATAGCATTGTCCCAATACACTATTGCATAATAGCTACATATGTACGTATGCATATACTTATGTGTCTGCCAGTAGTACGTGTAGGTAGCCAAAGACTGTGATCAAATGCCCAGTGTGTTTGTCGTACCAGAGTTTGACTTCCAGCAGTTCTTTACTGCACAATCTCTCGCTCTAAATCTCTGACCTAACCGACGGAGAATTTGAAGAGATTTTGCAATTCCATCACATATAGGGAGACCTCTGTGTGTAGTGTTTCTGTGGTGAGGTGGAGCTTGGACGACTGCCAAATTGGCATCTGTCAGCAAACACACCAGCTTCACCCTTCCTTTCTATGGCACCTCTCTCTCTCTCTTCTCCTTCTCCCTTCTCTCTCTCCTCTCTCTCTCTCTCTTCTCCTTCTCCCTTCTCTCTCCTCTCTCTCTCTTCTCCTTCCCTCCCTCTCTCTGCTCCTCCCCTCCCCTCCCGCCTCTCCTTTCCCGCTCATCCCTTCTCCCTCCCTCCCTACGCTCCCTCCCTCCCTCTCTCTACCTGTAAATATATGACTCAGAGAACGACGACAGTAATGCCAGCGTCGACAGAGACGTCGGAGATGGTGGACGTCCACCGCAGCGACAAAGACACGACCGTCGTGGCCAGACTCAAGGTCCTGTCTTTTCTGGAGAAACCCCCGAATATGAGAAAGTGTGGGTGAAGTGGAAAGAGAGACAGAGAGAAGAGAAAGAGAGAGAGGATATAATCTCTGAGAGGATATTCAGAATATCTATCGTAGCTATACTAATATATAAAGAAGCTGACCTCTCGCGCTTATAATAGCTCGCTCTCTACCTCCCTAGCTTATCTCTCTGCCTCCTCTCTCTATTCGTCTCTCCTCTCATCTCTCTTGCTCTTCTCCTATCTCT